AGAGAGAGAGAGAGAGAGAGAGAGAGAGAGAGAGATAAAGAGAGAGAGAGAGAGAGAGTGACACATAAACGTGACTTACAGCCAACTAGCGGTGTTTTTCGAAAATTGCAGAAACATAGATCATACCATAGCGACGAAAAAAATAAAAATTAAAGAAAAAGCGTAAGAAGCGGACAAGAAAAACGAAAACTTTTTATAGTGCCTTAAGTGGGAAAAAAAGAGAGAGGAGAAAACTAATAGAAAAAGACGTTTTTGCTTAAAATACCTAAAGAAAAATTAATCATCGTATATACGTCATCGTACGTTTTTCCACTCCTATGACGATCATGAAAAAACGACGATGACGTAGGCACGGTGACTTTTCCTGGAACGAGATCGCATCCTTCGCACATACACGTGATATACTATTAGGTCCAAATCCAATAAATCCAATATATAAGCATATTTTGCTGTTTACGTACATTCTGTGAGCGTCATCAATTGTTGTTCTTCAATTGTTGGCACTAGTTAGCATATGCTTCCTTTACAAGTAGTGACCACGCCACTAATTTTCCTGGATGGCCTTTTTCTGCTGGACTTTTAAACTTGCACGTACATTGAAACATGTGATTGGATGTGTGATTTGCGTGGGTGCGCAGGTAGCGAATAGAAACAAAAGCAAACAAGAGACAGAAAAGCGAATACCGATTTGAGAGGGACAAAAGAAATATAAAGAGGACACTTTTAAAAACTAGACGAACGAATAGTCTAATTGTTTTATTTTAATAGTAGCATTCCATAGGAAGTACACACTGATAGTCATCCATCCTAGCCCACTGGTTTACTGTTTTCTCATGGCGTCGGGTGAAATCCAGAGGTCGTTACGATTCGATGAGAGAAATATGATAATAATAAAATGCAGGAGAAGACACGAAGAGCACACATTTTTATAGGTTTAAAGAACATGTAGCATTTTCGTCGGCTGTTATTGGTATATATCGGAGGTATGACAATAGGAGAAAAGAAGAACAAAGAATCGCGTTTGCCATTCGCTGTGTGTACAAGATTGCGCCGCTAGGGGCGCGACGATCGCGCTTATGGAAAATCGTATACCTACGGGGCTAGGCTAGCAGCCATATGAGTGCCATACCACGAAGTAAACACGAAGTAACATAATTTTTAGATAAAAAGAGGAAACAATCTGTAACATATTTATTTAGCGTGTAGATTGTGTATGCATGAAAGATATAAGAGATACAATAGGTACTGAGTATATGTGTAAAGCTCGACAAATGGCCCAACCTCATTCGATGAGCCACTCATTGTCCTGCGAACATGCCAAGATCAAAATATAAAATCCGACAGGCACAAAACGGCAGGACGTTCGCTTTGGGATTTATTTGTTTTTTTTCTTTTTTTCGATCATTCTTTTTTGTCTTCGTCGAAACAGTCTCGGGAGGTTGGCTTAGTGCGATTAGATACTGAATACTATATTACGATTATTACCCCTAGATCGCATTACAAAATGAAACACATAGTATATACAGTAGTACTATTTAGATTTAGAATTGTACGGTCATTAGTATTAATTAATACCTGCTGTATGGATGTAAGAGAGAACTATTATATAATTTTATCTATTATTATTATTATTAATATCTTCTATTATTATTATATTATTATTATTATATTATATTATTAAACCACATCTTATGTAGCTGTGATTTTGCTTTCAAAAAGTAAAAATTAAAAATATTTATAGCAACAGACACGAATTACGTGAAAAACCGGACGTGAGAATCATTATAGAAACCTGCCCATGGTCTAGACCTCCACAGACGTTACGAAATCGTTGGCTTCGAGAATATCCCGATTTGGAATAAACGAGAGTAAGAGAAGGAAAGGAAATATAAAAAAAAGAGAGCGTAGAGCATCTCAAGGGGAGGCGATTAAAAAAAAAATCGTTCTTTGGACTGAAAACAACGTGCGCTCCAATAGCATCACACGCACTCAAAAGTGTATACAGTACGGTGAAGTGATGGCCGTACTTTTTTTTTATTGACAATAAACGTACTATATATGGCTCGTTATAAAATTATCAATATGCCTAAACTATACTGAACGTGTACGTTAAATGGCTGATGAAAGCGAAACATTCAACCCATTCATGATGCAATATTATTTTTAACATTTTATTTGTCTCAACGTTCTGGCAGCACTGGATAAAATTAGATAAGGAGAGTGTCAGACGCTCGAGCAAATGTGTCGTAGATGCTGAGACTGTCTGATGTATAAAATGCCAAAGAATTTCCACGTTTAAACAAGAATCTACAACGCGCTTGAAACCACGTCTTTGCCGTCGGGTGATGACGATGGTGTGGTAGGCAAGTGGTATTAAAAAAAGTCTACAGATACGAGAAAAATATCAAGAAACAGTAAGTGTAAAAAAATGATGGTAAATTTACAGTGGATATAAAATATTACTGTTTTTGGAAAATTATTAACTTGGAATATTAAAGTTAAAATCGTATATATTGTCATTAGATTTACTATATGCTTAGCAAAAATACTGGACTCATACGAATTTAGCATAATGTGTATTGAAATTAATATAAATGTTAAAAAATATTTAATCAGCGCTGTGACTCACAATCAATGGCTGCAGCTTCACTGGGTTAGTATAATAATGTCGCGCAGTCAGTATAGTGTCATCAGTGGAATCATGAAAACGTGCTGTACGTTAAATTTCAAATACCGTATACACAAATAACTTGACATGCTTTTATATTACCATATAAATGTTTATGGAATTTCATATATTGTATATACAAAAACTTTCTATTTATTTTCTAGAAAAATTTTTAACAGTGTAGACTGGTGTATTGGATTCATTACTGTTGGTTGGCCGATGGAAAATCGTTGGCTTTAGGAGAGGGAAAATTCTCAAGCTTGAAATAGAATTAAGGGAATACCCATGAATAAGTAGGTACTTACAAAAATCCAGTATTTAAGCGCGCCATTGTATCTTGAGTTCAAATATTTAAACGGTTATGTAAAAGTTACGTGAAATAGTTTGGCGGATTATCTTTATGTTGAATTACGTATTCATTAAGAAATGTATGCAGTTAAATAATCATAATGAATATTTGGATAAAATTTGTATTTTAGTTTCAACGGATTTTTGACTCTTGTTGCGTCTCTTCGTATCGCTTACTTGAGAACGAGGGGAGACATGTGGACTGCCGTGCCAGAGCAATTTTCTGATTGCCGCATATCCCGATCACGCATCATGTGCGTGAACATAAATTCGATCCGGCACTGACGTACCACGTGCAGCGTTTCTAGCTGTAGAGTTGAGGTTTATCTTCTACTTGCATAGGCGTCGAGGTTCAACGGAACATTATATAAGGATGCGTGTTATCAAAATGGAACGTATATTTGTGGCTTATCAGGTTTATTTAATAATACGTCTAGACGACGACACTATAATTTTAGATGTAAAAATGTTTTCGGCTATGATGACGAATCATTGGTGCTTGTCTAAGGTCATCAATACAGGAATTAGCCAATTTGGCAACGGTTCAGAGGTTCTATTGTTAATAAATACGGGCCAAGGCGATGAGTCCTTTTGGTAAATAATTTTTGGGACCTGAATGCATATAACGGGTTTCCAACTTTACTACGAGTGGTTCTATTATATTTTTAGAGTAGGAGCTTTATTTATGGTTTATGGATTTACCTTTGTACGGTAACTCAATATAGATTCTGAAATATATCAAAGACTTCATTTTAAAATGGGTTCAGGATAATGAAATTTAAACTCTAGAGAAAGCTTTCATTCGCGTTATTTATATATGTCAAATGAAAATAATAAATAACTGTACCCTGCAGTAAGTATGTAAAGTAACACATTTCATACTGATAAGATATTGACACAGAAAACCGCACAATATTTTTAAATGTGTAAGATTAATACGAATAATATCAAGGTTAACTTAAAGAATTTTTTGTATAATGCTGTTTTCCTTCAGTCGCAAAGTATTTTATATTTTTAACCTGGAAACAAATTTGTTTTCGTTGAAAAGTTTGAATACATTACAACAGTACTTTACAACGTATATGTGGGATAGCAGTTTACCGTAAGGACAAAGACTATACGAAGTTTTTGACTGTTGAGTATATTTTTTTCGAGGAAGTTCTATTTCTCCAGCATCTGTCAGTTTTGCATAGATGGATACATATATTTTGTTCAATATCAATCGTGCTCCTTTTGTTCAGGCGTCCACAGGTTTTCCGTCAAGGCAAATATTTTAGACACCTTTAAGTATTGGTTGAGTTCTTCTTGGTGTTGTGATTCCAGCCAATCAGGCACGCCAGGCTATAGGAATCGTGCGCGTGGGAGGCTATGGTCTCACAGCGTGTAACAACAGTATTTTCGATACTTCAGTTGTGCTTGAATTCTTGCGAGAGAACGTGATTCGTATTTTGTGGTAAGAATACGTGATTGTTTTTCTTTTCACGACACAGGAGAGAAAACCCCAAGTCCGTACCGAAGGATGGGCATATTTCGTGAATTTCCTATAGTGTTCAATCTTTATAAAAAATATAGTTAGAACAGAAGGTGAAATTACTTTTATGGAAAACTTCTATGACCAACTGGGCTTCGTGCCATTGTAAATAAATTCTCATATATTTTGTACAAAGGTGAGTAAAATTTGGCCTATTGTTTCCATAGTTTGAGGAGTCTTGTATGTGTCGTCCATTTTACTCATGAGGAGAGGGTTTCGCAATTGCTTGGTTTCCGTTCTAATTACTTCTATAAATTTTGTTTAATAAGCATTGACGATTAACGGAACTAGGGGAGCCTATTACGTTGATTCAATATATGTATATATTTTATGTGCGTCATTGCTATTTGCCAGTTATAAATTCCTTGTTGTATCGTTAACATCTGATTGCTGGGATCATCAGTTAACAGACTTTGCACTTTATGTACAGTTTCATTTTGCATTTTTTTTTTAAATTCTGGTTTTGAAGTACCAGCAAACAGTTGTATGTAGTATATTAGATTCTTACCAGAGTGTCTGTTTAATCTTGCTCTGTGTCAATGATGCATGAAACCTACCAAATAAGAAGTGGTTTTTGAATGATATTTTATTTTAATACTGGACATCAGTACTAATCTTGGGTTAAAAGCTATCAATTTCTTGACAAACTTGGTTGAATGCCTCAGTGCGACTCTAGATGTCTGACAGAGATCTTTGAAAGTAAGTCTGGGTGATGGAATTTTTGAGTGTAAGATTTTGGCTATTGAAATAGTGCAGTTAATTTAAATAATTTTTGCCAAATGGAAGTAAATAAATCATTTTATTTCAGGAAGAGTTACAACATCTCTTTGTATTCTGGCTGGCTCAAAGTTCAACCATTAAATTATCAAGGAACATCCAACAAAATTTCAAGTGTTGAAGTTAGCAAGATGGATGTAGCTACGAAGCTCACAAATGGGACGAGTGTTGCTGTAAGAAGGAGACCAACACTAGCTCGTCGTGTTTCTGAAATGTTCAAAGGTGACTATTGATAATTAAAATTAAAAAGAGTTAAATAAAATGCTTGTGGGATGTGATACAACTTCACTAAAAACAGGAATGACGCAGTAAAAGATTACCTAATTAGTTTTTATCTTGAACCAAGAATAAAGGCGTGCATAGTGGTGTTGCATAGTTAATTCGAAAAATAAATGTAGTGCCTGTATCGTTTTGATTAGAATTAATTATTTGATTCATTGACTGTTGCAGATGGAAATTATAGTGGCCCACCATTACTGTTTCGCCACTCGTCCATGCAGAAGATTCGCCATTGTTGCCAGAATCTAAATCTGTTTCCATACCTCCTCTACTCTTTTGGAAATTCAAAGTCCCATCCAGTCGCACGGAAGGTCAATCTTTACTTCAACCTCCTGCTTAAAACCATTACTGAACAAATCTTCTTTGTCACCAACTGTGTGCATCAGACTGCTCTGCAGATTATCCGTTCCCCACAGACTACTCCAACTCCAGGTACCTTTGAGGCATCAATTGCAATAACAAACACACAAAAGTTCACCAAATTCGAAAAGCAAGAACGCAAACGTATCTCCCTTGTGCTTACTCTGGCTGTCTACTTTGCTCTACTGGTGCTTGCCTTCCAGCTCGTGGGACTTTGCAGTCTCATGATGTTTGGCAAGTACACTCCAGGTTTTATTTTCCTGATCTCAGCACTCATGTGTCTAGGCTACGTATCTCTAATGGTTATGATACATGATGGAGGTTTTAAAAAGCAGAAAAGGAAATTTCAGTGATATTTTAATATACGCCGTAGCGGGTAACATTCTCAATTACGACAGACTCCGATAACGTTTCTATAGAGTTTAATTTTTATGTGACCATTTAAAAGTAGCCGTAATTATGCTGTCGGAGTGCTTCGTTATCACTTTCGTATCCTGCCTCTTGGTTTTCCATGTTAATAAGTTCCTTTATGATAACAGAAATATGAGTTCGGGTCATCACCAGAGTGTAGCCGGATTTTTTTATACGCATAAAAAACACTATAGTACTTGAACGAATTTTATAATATTAACGATTTAAGTGATTATTTTACACAGTAAAGAAATATTTGCCAAGATGAATAACATGGTAAAGAAAGTAGAGATTCCCTTACTAAATAGCATAAGGACAGTAACACTTAATCAGCATAATATGTTCTCAAAGTAATGTCAATTCTCTGCATTTATTTTTTTTTTTATTGCTACGACTTACGACAAGTTATAGCTAATAAAGAATCCTTCTGCAGTATAAGACTGAGCACTGTTTTATCGTACTTGTTTGTAAATAAATATATAAAAATTATACACACTCATCGCATCACTAATTTCCGAAATGGAATAATCTGAACTCTAATATTTTCGTAAATGAAGCAGAAAAGTTGTGACGTAACGCATTATCGACTATTACATATTATATTTGATCTAACTAGCCGGCGCGATTACTGCACCTAATCGCGCACAATTTTTTTTGTTACTGATAATTTTTAAATCCATTCAATTGCATCAGAGTAGCACGTGATTCGTTAAGGTCTATTTGCGAATGTCACCACGTGCCATTTATCTGGTTTTTTTTCTATATTAAAGACCAACTAATCTGAACTAGAACTACAGTAATAATTAAGTACAAGATATTGCTATTCATGTATATCACGTGCGCAGCAGAACTGTCATATTCTCCGATTTTAGCAGCATAAGCGATTACTTGAGCCACGAAGTTCTGTTCGTGAGTTGAATGAAACAGATGTGCATAGGGACCTAAAGAGATCATTATATGTCAATCAAACAATTGATTACTACGATTTAAGCTTATAACATACACCTTCACGTTAGGACGTTTGTATTGCTGTATCTCTTTACCCACCTAAAGCGTAAACGGCTACGTCGCCACCTCCATGATAAGCTTCATCGGAAATAATCGCAGCTTGTTGACTGTAAGTGAAATCACTAGTGTTATATAAGGATACATTTATCCTCACTGCTTCACGATCACCGATCTTGTAGGCCATATTGTTAACTCCACCAGTACTGTAGCTGAGTATAGTATAGGGAATTCCATCATATCTGGATTTCTGTGCGATACCTATATAACAGCAATAAGATAAATATATAATTACTTGAGCCTTGACATATATTTAATATTCACCAAGAATGTTTGATCCTCTATCGCTATATCCATTGAAAGACAAAGCATGCGTATGATCGCTTGTGACAATGACAAGTGTATCAGTGGTATCTATCATGCTCAATGTTGCATTAATGGCGTCTGAAAATCTTGTAGTTTCTTGAAGAGCCTGAGCAGCGTGACCTCTGTGATGAGCAAAATCGATAAGTCCTCCTTCGACCTGAAATAAAATAATTATCTAGATGAGAGATGATGCTAGGAAATGAATATCCTAAACAGTAGGATCTAACCATTAGTAGGTACCCGGTTTTGGATTTCTGTAGAATTTTAAGCGCTGTCACGGTCATCTCCTCAAGACTTGGTTGACCTTCTGGGCTTTGATCCCTTGCATAATCCATGGTTAAATGACCATTTGAAAATATTCCTAAGAGAAAGTCCGTGTTCTCGGTATCCACCTCGCTGAGTTCTTTATTATTTTGTACCACCGCATACGAAGCACCTAATAATTTCTTATCAGAGGACCAATCGCTTATCAAATTTCTTCCATCTTTACTGTAGCAGGCATAGGTATCTATAGGATCATTGGTACCATTTACGACATCCGATACCAGAACTTGCCTTCCACCTCCCATGATTACCTGAAAAATTTAATGATACGACAGTGATCGATTGAAATTTTAATTCCGTTAACTTACATTTATTTTTTTCCCGGGCTCATCCTCGATCAACTGTCTCGCTATGTCTTTACAGTTGGATGCCGTTTTCGGCACTTTGGCCTCGCACTCCCATCTTCGATCAGGACAATGTGCATAGAGAGCAGCAGGAGTTGCGTGCGTCACCCTTGTAGTAGTAACAAAACCTAAGCAAATTCACTGGTCCGTATTCATAGTGCTTGAGATGAAGCACAGTCTTAAGACCGTAGATATAGTAATAATAACACATGATAGAGGGTGTCTTAAGATTGTGCTTAAAACGATGAACTGACTTTGAATACGAGCCATGGGTATTATAATATTTATTTGAGAAATTGAACTTTCTTGTCGGTAACTAACCCGTCGCTTTCCCAGCATCTTGCGCCCAGCTAATAATTGTATCCGTGTGGTAAGTAGAATTCAGACTTGACTTGCAATCAGCCAATGGTATGTTCGCGTCCAAACCGACAACTTCATAATTAGTTTTAACTCCACTAAACAATGCCGTGGCAGTCGCCGCAGAATCAGGCACTTGCTTATCAACGTCGTATGTCTGATAACAGAGATCATCATTAGCCAGTAGGCTTATATATGATTAACTAGAAAATCACGTTTCCAATCATGTGCAACGTTTCAAAAGAATATTCCATATTCTTCTATGACTATGACTAAAGGTACTCAATGACTACGTTTAGGGTGTAAGTTGGACCAATCGATCATGTGTAACGTTTGATAAAAATAATAGCGTATTTTTATTAAAAATTGCACATAATTGCATAGTTCTACTTAAATCTTGTACGATGGAAATGTTATCAATGATTTTAACAAAAAAATTAAATATTACGTAATTTTTTATATAAATGCATTTACCTTCAGAAGACCAACGTGCGGAAATTTTTCCCACGAGAGATAACTCTCCTCGCCCCTATGGTAAATCCTACTAGCTGTTATAGTATCAGGGCTCATACCATCGCCTACGAATAATATGACATTTTTAGCAGTGTTTGTATTCCATCTGTATGTCAAAGATTCTTTGAGCTCATCACGTGCCACGTTTCGCCAGAATTCCATGTCTGTCAATATTAAATAATAATATACCTTATAGCCTCGTATGGTAATACAGTTTTCTGTTTGGTTCTTAATGTAAATCTATTCATGCGTTACGAGTTTCATATATTACAGAATATTCGGTTATTTAGGAGTTATTAAATTATACGAACCTTCTATTGCATTGGTTATCATAGTTATGCAAATAATAAGAAACAGTCTCCTCATGGTATTTGGTGCCATGCTATTTCTTAATTATATCTGCTTGATTACTTTTCGCTAGTCTCTCTTGGTTCTTCAAGCCAAAGTAACTGAACTTTCCACACGATGGACTCAACCGCGACTAATCTTTCAACGTTAGTCGGCAACTCATTTACATGCTATTGTCCCACTCTGAACAATGCCAGATAAGAATGTATGTACACTAGATATATATACACAGATTTGAGAACGGATAACACACTGATCTCTGATAGAAATTGTCATAAGGCGAATGGCAGCAGAATTCAATGGCTAATGGAAAATCAGCTCAGAATTATGAGAGAAGACAGCGTATTTCAGCGCCATTAGAACGTGTCGGCTATTCTAAGATGGATGCGTCGAGTTATGAATACCCTGCCGGTAAGTGTCGTTTCTTAGCGTCAGTATGTTTATGACCGGCAGGGTGGTGAAACAGAAATTTTCGGATTTGTCATTTTTATGGGCAGTACAGATAAAAGATATTCTGTATGTTTAATTTTATTACAATCACTGGGAAAGAGGATGTGGAATTTTAATTCTATTTTAATTTATTTATACTCGTTGTATGTTCGTGTACATTGACACGTTCATACATGTTAATTGGATATAATTAGCTTAAGGCAAATGTGCCTTACTATATTAATTATAGTATTTATTCTGTATCTTTATTATTACGGCAACTAAATTTTTTTTACATACGTACACGTGCTTCGTGATAAATGGGAAAAAATAGTTGTACAATGTTTGAATTTGACATTATAAATTTTTTATCTTTAATACATGAAATTATTATAAGGTGTCATTAGAGTTCGACAATATAGGTTTCTTGTCGGTAAGTTAACGACCATCGTAATCTTATCCAGAGTTTTCTCAAACGATAAGACCTTCGTATCCATTATCTCTAATCATATTCATATCGTTTACCATTTAATAATCTTAACGTTAAGTACTGATATTAAGCATAGAATACTTTGTAATAGTTACTTAAGCTGTTTTCGTGTTAAATTTTTTTAACTTGCTCTATCGAAAGCTTAATTGCTTCAATTAAATAATAATTTTCGCCATTGACTTTCACGTACGTGTTCCCTTAACGCTAAATGGGAATGCAGATATTTTCATAGATACCGAATTGCATAATGCGCTCGAGTAATTATTAAAGTAAATTGCACAAATCTGTGACGCAAGGCGCTTCAGTCAGCCTCGATAACCCTAAACTCCAAGGGTGCATTCTTTCGTTTCGTCAAAGTTTAGCGCGAAGAGGGTTGTTTTGAAGGAGGGGTTGGAACAATCGAACGTCCCGAAGCGCAAAGTAAGAGAACGAAGAAGAATTTATTGATCGTCCTTTTTTTACATGGCTGCTGAGGGAGTCAGGGGCTCGGGACGGAATTAAAGATGGCGGGAGTTTTTCCATTGTCTTCCCCTACTCCGTCTTGGCACCCCCGTGAGCCGGCTATAGGGGCGCACGGGCGCAGTGGGAAAGACAAGGAGGGATGAAAAATGGCCGAGAATATTTTAAAGGGAAATTGAAGAGGTGGCAGGCCACCCGCTCTCTTCGTAACCACCCTTCCTGGACCGCTCAAATGGAATAATATGGCTGTCCGAACTCGCAAAATGTCTGACCGTCCTCCATACTGATATTTCACAAGAAACACTTGGATTTAGTAATTTTTTCGAAAATTAACATTTAAAAATTACATTATACGTCAATTTAAAAAACGTCTACTTCCACGTGCATATAGTATTTTTCAAAAATTATTTTTTTTTCAGTTCACTCAAATTTGTTTTCCCTCTTCTTACGACCGGATGTCAGGTAGCGAGTGGCGGACGAGTAATGAGGGGTTGTTTTCATTACGTCAGCAAGGCGGAAATCCAAAAGGGAAGGAAATGAAAGAAAAGAAACGGAACGTCAGGGTAAGGTAAGGGATGAAGTGGGAAGCGAACGAGAAGCGAACGAGAAGCGAACGAGAAGCGAACGAGAAGCGTACCTTCCTACTTACTAGTTACTAAACAGGCAAGGGTGGACGAGGAGGTTAGTAATGCAGAATGTATATACGTAATCGTAATTTCCTTTTGTTCTATCCAGACTCAATCTCTAGTTAAAACTAGGGGAATTTCGGGTAACGTCTTGTAGGATGGCATTCCTACGTATTTCTTATTTTTATTCTTTTTTTTCCACTTTTTCACTTCTCATCCGTAATTCAGAAATGCTCAACAGGAATGCAAAGATTTCACAGGATTTCGACTACCAGTCTGTCGCGTGTCTAGTCGAGTCACAACTAAGACGTCGTTATATCATACGAAATCGTGTCTACGTATTTATGTTTAATTAAATTTGAATCCCCATATCTCTGTACACACGTGAAACACTCGCGCGATTAGCACTCGGCGCGGAACGATCCGTTTGGTCAAATTGCACCATGGATACTGATATGTCCAACGTGTTTGGCAGCGTGTATGGACAGAAGCCCGATGCTTATATAGGCTCTGGAATCTCTCATAGAGAATGTAATATTACCTACGTACGTTAGAATACATAGAACTCGTTCGGCCGGTATGCAAATCCGTTGACCACCCCGTAAAAAGGTACCCATTTTTTCTTTCTGCGGGACTTTGACCATCTGCCTTCATTTTCTCTACCCCATATTGACCTTTGAACGGGGATGGTCCGTTACCTTGTGAGCGAACGAGTATGTAATAACCAATTTTTTATTTTATTCGTCATTTCTGTGACAATAATTATTTTGGTTGGTTGAGTGTACGAGGCAATTTTTTTTAACAACTAATATATATATATATATATATATATATATATATATATATATATATATAATGTAATTTTGGGTCACTGGACACATAATGATGCGCTCATAGGGGAGTGTAACGATATTTAGATATTTAGAAAATTCGGTGCGATCGGTACCTTTATGATTCTCAAAGTATAATTAAATTGCTGTAACTTTAAGCCGGGTTCTTAAAGCCTTAAATTTACACGAAGTATACGTGTGCAGCAACATTGATTTTCTACGTGTATTTTTGATATATTTATATCTGCATATAATATACAGTATACAATGTATACCTGTATGCTTTATGTTATCTCAAGATATCACGTTTTCAACGATAAAGACGACAGATTTGAACGCTGTGCTCGTTTTTATTTTTGCACGTTTATCACTCCCGCTGTCAATTCCGCTTACGAGCAATGTGCGAATTAACACGTAAAACAGAGAAGCTCTAATAAGGAGTCAATAAACATAGGGGTAGCGGCTAGAAAGCGTCAGTCTAAAGCCGTGATCAAATTTAGCACGTGTCGAGCAAGAGAAACGACCTCGACCTCATTCCGGCTCGAAATAGTTTTTCAATTTTCACGCTCGATTAATCCCGATCGCAATTTTCCTCGCATTTAGCTTTTCGATTATCCACTGATGGCACTTTCCCAATGCGTGAATTTAACGATAACGACAGTGATACCACGAAGACGATACATACGTCACTCGGAAAGCCACCAATCTTCACGTCCTGACAAATTGACCAGCCAGTAGCGATAAGGCGATTTACATGTAAAGCAATCGATGCGAGTATAGTCAATATGTAATCGCATATATACATATATATATATATATATTATATAAAGCACAGGATGTAGAATGGCTGGCCGTAACGTGGCGAGGTGGTAAGATCTGATTTTCTGACATTGTTTTCCGTAGGACAATGCCGGGTCGAGCTGAGTGGAGATAAGTTATGACGTCATAAGGCAAGCCTCGAAGACAATAGAAAAGAAGAGCGTCAGTAAGCTCGTCCAGAAAATAATAAAGACGAGTTTTTAATTGTATCATAAATTTCGAAGACCTATTGTTTCCGAGGTGGATAGTCCCCGGCAGACGTCAGGTTCAAAGACTTTCGTATCGGCTGTTTTCTATTTTACGTCGAACTGGTCGAGGAGTGTCGGTACTAGGCCCTACCTGAGAGACCCTGTACGAAAATGCAGTCCCTAGCGAGTGGGTCAGGATACGCAAATTGTTATTTGCCTTTGGTTTCCTATTTATACCAGCGATTATCATTGTACCAGGGTGATTGGTTCAGGCGGTGGTCGGTACGGATGGCCGTTAACCTTTCTAACGGAGAGATCTCGAAGGACGCTAGTGGGCCAGTGTGGCGAGGGTAAGGTTAGGGGCTGCAAGCATAGGGTTGAAAAGTTTCGTACTGTTAGAACAGGTTTCGGGGTATCGAGGGATCTAACGACCCTTTGCCAGACTCGACCCTTGGTCAGGATTTTTCAACGAATTCTTAATCGGCACTAGCTCACTCACTGTACAGGGCTGTACAAAGACTGTTTCTCTTTCGCATATTTCTCATCTTCCGGGAGGCGTCTGGGGAGGTTCATTTGAAATCTTGTCGGTCCCATGAACGCGCTGGAGGAACAAAAGAGTTTGGAAAATAAAGGAAGAAACGGAACAGCGAGAGGGAGATCGTGTACAGTACTAGAGCAGCGTGTACTGGTACTGGACTGGTCCGGGGTAGAAAAGTTTTGTCCATTTTTCGAAATTGACAAGGAGCTGGAATTTTATTGAGAAACATGAAAATTGACAAATTTACGTATGAGGGTTACACTGCGCGTTTGTGATTTTTTTTTTCTTCTTATCTCTCGCGATAAGACAGGCGAGAGGTAAATCAATGTTTGTACCGCAGGGACATTTTCATTTCTGCCGACGGAAGGAAACGGCACCACCCCTCTACTCTCTTCTACCCCTGGGTTGGTTATTAACATAAAAATAAATGAATACCGGATGCGCTGACTCTTTCCGAGCATAGTCATCTCGACTATGCATTTCTCGTACTTTACTTTCGGCCGGGTCTCCCTTTCCGCTTTTACATTTTTATTTTATCTTAATTGTCTTTTATTACTTATTTTTCACTCGGATGTTAAAATGGACGCGCGTAACGCCGTCGCTTCGAATTCCCTCGGAACGCACTTTCGCACCCGATCGGCCTCGAAAATTGGTTTTGAGATTGCTCTGACGGGTTCTCGCCCAAAGAGAGACTGACGTGCATAAGAATTGGAGCGGAACGTGAAAACAAGCTATTAATCATACTTTCATAATCGTTCTGTTTATTATTTATGAGCCGATACGACGTACGCACGTCCGAGAGAACCGATACAGTCGATACGCAAAATAGGACTGAATTTCATTTTCATTTCGAAATTCCCCTTTTACCTCCCGTCTCTTATTCGTATGCCCATGCATTAACGACGTAATTTAAAAAATGTGTATCTT